CACGAGCTTCTTGAATGTTTTCCAAGGAGGAGCCTAGAGTGTCAGACTTTTAAACACCTAAAATGCTTGTAAAAGCCCTTTAGTACATGATACAGAACCTCAGAAGGTTCCATGTAGAGCCACTTGTTTGAGGGTGTGCTGCTGAGATGGTATGTGTGTGAAGCTTTAAACACATGGTTTACATGTATACTCTCTCTCACTCACTCACTCACACTGGCTGCATGACGGGTGTCAGTAGAAGTAGGTCAGTAGTGAAAGGGTTCTCGGTTGTCCTCACACGGCCTCTGCTTGGCCCATCACACCACTGGTGTCGACTCAAATTTTTTCTTCCTCTTCACTCCTCCTCCTCCTCCTCTGTTTTCACCCCCTCCCTCCCTCTGTTATTCCCCCACCACACCTCCTCCTCCATCCATTTCTCTCTGCTTTGATTAGGGGAGGGAGCAGGTCCCACCCCTGGATCAGACGGGTCTTGTGCAGGTTAACTCTTCATTCGCCGCTTTCCTTCCCCTTCATTTTTCATTTTCTCTCCTAAAAGCAGTTAACTTTGTCTCCAGAGAGGCTGGCGGTCTGCTTGTGTTTTCACAGAGGCCCCTGCCAAACCATTTGTGGCGTGTAACTGGTGTTTTTGAGGGATACCCGATGCCACAAAATGGAGCAGAGCTCAGTGTTGGGATGAAGGACCTGAATCAACCCTGTTCCCCTGCAAAAAAAAAGCAAAAAACTGTGGCATTGGGTTTCAGGCTGTGAACTTCCAGGCAGGCTGGATAATGCCCAGATCTGTGAACAAATGGTGTATTACTTAACCCCAGCCAGCTTTACATGATTTACAGTAGAGCTTGGAGAGACAGGTGCTTGAGCTCACACTGCCATCTGCTGGCAGAAGAAGGAAGAAGAAGACAAACCCGTTTTCACCAAACGTGCCAAAACGCCCCAACATGGCTCCCGAAAACCTCCCTGGCAACCTCGTGGACAGATTCACCCTACTTCAAAACCAAACTCAACCGAAAACAAAAAAAAGCCCCAAGAAGTCCCAAAATTCAAAGCTCAGTTTGTTAAACCAGCAGGTAAATAGATGGAGTGAAATATGCAAAGGCATTGCTCTGAATGTGGAAAACAGACGGGTTAGACTGGTTTCTATGGTGCTGCTGGTTTCTATGGCGGTTAACCAGGCGCACTTGGCGATGCCACTGAATACTCTGAAGGGTTCAGGCGGTTCATCTAAGAAAAAAACCTGGCTGAGCGTGGGAATCGGACTGAAGTGAATGCAGGAGAGAAAGGACAGCGATTCAGAGCCAGGTGCATGTTTCCCTGAGATGGTTTTTAAGAAAGATTTACAGGTGTCACAAGAAAAAACAGCTTTAAACTTTTATTCATTTGAGACATTTAGAAGATTCGAGTGTAGCAGTCGCAGCATGGAGGTCCCAGCAAAGCTTCTTTCTACAACTGAATGTAAAGTTTGATGTTGCAGCAGGTGGAGCTCATCTGAACTGCTTTACTGTAGGTTAATAAACAGTGCATCAATCTATGCAGTGCTTGAAAAGTCTTAATCTACAAAGTGAGTTGCAGGTGTGGTGCAGTACACAGTACAGTGTTTCTGTCTGAGGTGCGGTGAAACAGAAGTCCCTCTACAAGTTCAGCATGTGGTCTCCGCCGTCTGAAGACGACATTGAACCTGTTCAGCGTCTTTAGGTCCTAACCTCTGGTGTCTTCAGAGACTAAGCAGTGAAAACTGAGGATTGTTCGGAGCAACAGGGACATTGTTTCTGAAGAGACATGTTTCTGTGCTTTTTATTTGATATTTGACAGAGTAAGGAGCACAAACGTGCACTGCACACACATGCTAAGGCAGAGATGTCAGACTAACTACTGACAGGACACTGGAGCTAAGAGGCAGTTTGTTCCTGTTGTTTGTGTGAACTGGACCTTTAACCTTCCATCCCAGTCGCCTTAGGTTTATAGCTACTTGACTTTTCCTGCCTTTTCACTGTTTCTATCTATCACGTCCTGCAAGAAAAACCGTGTGAGCTCCTTGCTGAAAAGTGCCTTGCTAGTAGCAGTAGTATCAGTAGTAGCAAACTTTTCACTCTGTAGCTCCGTGCTTTAGTCAAAGTGTCAGAGGAGCAGCCGGATCATTAAACCTGTGGTGAGGATTGGAGGTTGAGATTTCCTGAACAGGTTTGTGCCACTGTGTGCCACTCAGCTGACACAAAGCGCTCGCTTGCAGCCTCGCACACTAACACACACCGCTCTGTTTACTGTGCTGCTTTCAGGCTCTGAATCCTGAGTCCACGTGAAGGGTCAGCGCGACCTGAACACTGGTTGGAGTCTACTCTGTCCTGGGGACCCGCAGTCTTTCATCAGGTAATTCAAGTTACACAAAAGCATGTTGGCTCAGGAAGGAAGAGTCACACTGTTGTTTAGAAGTTGCAGTGTTTGTGCTAAAGCAGGACTTTATTTCAGTACTTTGAACACGTTTTATCTTTAGTGAACAGAAGAAACTAAAGTTCTTAAACGTTTAATGTTCCCTAAAAGCAACTAAAACAGGTGTGTGAGCTGTGTGATTTCTGCTTTAGTCGGTGAGAAAAAGTAGCAACATTACAGTGTAAACATTTTAGGTAAAGGTCCTGCTTTGAGTGCACAACTATCAAAAGGCAAAGAACAGCACCTGTCAGTGTTGTGTATGACTGCACTGTTGCTGATGCAGTCAGGTTTAAGCTCATCTTTACTCATATTAGAGTAGTTTTATGTGTAACGTTGCATCATATAGACTCAGCAGGATTTGTATGTACAGGCTAAGTACACAGTAACTGTACAGGGTAGTTTCATGAATCATTTTGTCTACAACATGTCAAAAAATAAAACTGCACAGAGCTCGAGGACTAATCAGCTGTTGATCAACAGGAAAATAACTGGCAGCTATTTCGATAATCACAGTTTCATCAGTGTAAATCGCTTATTTTTCCAGTAAAAATGCCAACAATTTTCTGGTTCCAGTTTAATAAATGGTAAAATTTGCAGTTTTTGTGTCTGGCTGGACAAAAACAGGAACAATTTGACTATTTTCACTTTGAAACCTGTTTAAATGATTGATTTAGATTAATCAATCTGACCCTTATTTCCCTGATTAATTGTAAAAAGAAAATGGTGTCAAGTTGCCAGATATAATAGCTAACACTCAGTTTACAGTGTTACACAACAATTAAAGGCAGAAAATATTCATATGTGAGAAGCTTAAACTTCTTCTAATTTTTAAATGTCAAACCTCAAACTGTGCTTTGCAGTAAGTAAATAAACTTAGTGACTTTAAAATAAAAACACAGCAGCTAAAATCACTTTTCACTTTTTTATTTTTGCTTGCAGACAAAAAGGATATCAGTGAAGTTCAGATATAATAAATAAATAAGCCACTAAAAACTGTTGCTACTAAAGCAATTTAAACAATTTAAACAAGGCTTAATGTTGCAGAGTTACAGGGCCCGTTTAAAGATCCCAGGTCACTGTCCAAATCATTAGAAACCTAAAGCAAAGACGGAGACTTTACAGTTGAGCAGCGCTGATTGTTCTGTGAGGGTTGCATATGCTAACCGAGTACTACACACTTCAGTGAACACAGGAAGAGAGCGCAGAGAAAAGCTAAATGAAAGCTCAGCCCCCCCCCCACCCCTCCCCCACATATGAAAAGTTAAAAAGTTCCCACAGGAACTGAGCCAAGTGCTTGTGATTTCTTGTCCCCAAAATATCGCCTGTAATTCCCGTGGAAAACCTGAAGGATAGTGTTGCTAGTTCACCCGTATCTGAGCAAAGAAAGCGCACTAATAACTGTCTCGTCTTTAAAGTGATTCACTTCCTTTGGTGGCGCGGACAACAGCAAAGAAACACCATCTCACAGACATAATTATTGTTGTGTACATGTATCTTCATGCATACACTATTGAATCCTCTAGAAAAAGAAACAATCTGAGTTTGTAGCTTCATTGACTGAGGTAAAGTTGCCTGTTTCCTGAAGGAGCGCACAAATGCCTCCTTTAAAGTTTGGATAAGGACACAAACTGCATTTGGGTTCATCTCCTTTCAGGTCCGTCAGCTCTGAGGAACCTGCACGTTGCTTAAAAACACTTTGGACCTGAAGAAGAACTGATCTGGGATCAGCTGAACCTGTAACCACCATCGGGCCAGAGAAGAATGTGTCTAAGAAAGATCCACGTTCAGAACAGACCACTCATGCTGTTGTTTTCCAACATGTTCGTGAGCCATCTCTCTAACTGCCCATTCTGCTTCCTACATTTCCCAGAATGCTGTTTGACAACCCACTAAAGATCTTTGGACTTGATGCTGTCACTGAGAGGCCGTGTGCACGATGGATCAGGTAATTTATTTACTTTGTATTGTAGTTTTTAAACCGGCGAGGTTTAAAAACTCAGCTCCAGGTCCACTGATCACCCTTTTCCCCAGAGGTGACACTGTCCTCAGCAGACGAACTCTGCTCTCATCAGTCACATGGTAACAGACAGTGGTGGAAGAACTTAGACTGTTTACTAAAGGTAGCAACACCACAGTGTCAAAATACTGCCAGTAACAATCCTGCATTCAAAGTATAAATGTACTCATTCTGCAGAATGGGATGATTCCCATTAATGTCTCTGATACAACTGGATCATAGTGACTGACGCGTTACTGTGTTCAGCTCTTTAATGTTGCAGCTGGTGAAGGTGGAGCTGATGGTAACTACCTTATATACTTATACATACTGCTGCATCAAAATGTTGATACTAGTTTAATTCATCTGATTATGAAAAGAAATTAAAGTTATCAAATCAAGTACAGTAAAAAGTACAAGATTTGAAAATGAAAATACTCAGTTTAAGTACAGTACTTCAGTAAACGTGCTTTCCACCACTGATGACAGGTATGTGACAGTTTACAGGCTGATTTGAAAAAGCTGGTGAGTGGACCAGGAGCTAGTTTTGTTTGGCCAGCACATACCACATCCTCTCTTATTGGGTACCCCTAGTTAAACCTAATGCAGCCCTGCAATAAATCCTGCCTTCATCTCGGTCACCATGGTTTCTAGCCTACATACTAGAGACGCCTGCACAGGTGAATCAGCATGTCTCTCAAACAGTCATCACCTTCATGATGGAGGATTTACTGCAGGACTGACTGAGGTTGAGCTCAGTGTCCCTAATAAACTGGCACACTGTCTGCTCTGACGCCAACATCAAACGCTGTGCTGATCTTTCCTCACCAGGCACTAACATCTGTGTGACGGCCGATATGTTCAGGCAGTTGAGAGAGAGTGACTGCATTTGTTTACGCCAGCTAATTCTTCGGTTTGGCTGCTTTATCGTCCTGTCCTAATGCAAGTCTGATGTAGGCCGTAAAAACCGCAAGTTGATGCACAAACAAGCCTCGCTGAGTGTCTGTCCTGGTGGATTCTCCCTCGTGTCTGTGCTGACGTCCATCCTTCACTGAACTGCTGTGACTGAAAGTGAACGGTAACAATCTCTATCTCCTGCAGACATGGAGGTTGTTACTGTTTACAAAAGAACTCATAACAACATGAATAGATTCAGTTTCCAATCGGTTATGTCATTCAGACCTTAATAAATCTGCTGAAAAAATACTAAAAAGTTTTGATTCCACTGTTTTCGTTCTTAATTTAAAGCCAATGCTTATAAACAGGATGGCACTGGTTTGAGCTGTCTATTCACTAAAAGGATGGTTTTAAAAACCTTTTCTTATAGAACAGTGCAACGTCTGGGCAGAGGACATGTCCTTGAGAAAAGGCCTGGGGCTTCCTGATATTCTGAAAAAAAAAGTTGAGTATTAATGAGAAAACCGTGCAACATCTCACCTCTTAGAAATGTTTTGGATTTATACAAAGTTTCTCTTAAAATGTGAATTTTCTTCTTCTTTTTTTTTTTTTTAAGAAAAATGACAGAAGGCCAAAGTAAAAGCCCTGTCATTTCCACCACAATAAAAGCCTTGTTGTTGGTACAGGAGCAGAGCTGGAACTTCATGTCCTAGTGGTGGCGTTTGCTGGGAGGCGTCGCCCTGTGCATTCGCTTGGTCCCCACAGTTCAGCCAAACCAAACTACATCCCAACACTTTGTCCTTTCTTTCCGCTCTGTCGTCTCAGTGCTTCTCAGCTCCGTCAGGACCCAAAGTGCATCGAAGGCATGAGCCTGGCGTTTTAGTAACGCACGATCCATCTGAGCTGTGACTCCATCCAAACTTCCTGTGGCCACCTTTGGGTCCCGACCCCCCAGCTAAGAAACAATGATGTATAGCGTCCTCTGTGTCGTCTCCTCTGTGGGGGTAGCAACGCTGGTTCTGTAGGAGAAAACAAGAACTCAGGACAGTTGACTTCAACAATGTTCCAGCAGCTGCTTATCAAACATCATGTTACAAGAATCATGAACCTGTTGATCCTGAACACAACTCAAACGCATCTCTCTCTTTCAGACGCAGAGCACGGCCTGCTGACAGCAGCAACAGATGTGTTGGGCTGGACCGAATGGCAGCTGCTGTACAGTGGTAGTGGTGGTGATCGGGGGGATATTAGGATATTCGAGTCCAGCTCTACCAACGTGAGTATCAAGTCTAAACAAGACTAATTTATTTACAGGTGTCAGGATTATATCTGCTTCTGTCTACTAGTCATTTGACAGAGAACTAATCTGTAAATACTTTGACTTCAGTTTTGAACAGTTGGTCAGACAACAGAAGGCTTCACTTTTGGGCTCTGGGATGTTGAGAACTGTTTCTGTAACTTTCTTTAAAGCAGCAGCTGGCTGGTGGTGGGGGGACCATGTAGAGACGGAAATGACGGGGATAGCTCAGTGGTTAACACCACTGACTTTGGTACGGCAGGTTGGGGTTTGATTACACCATGTGCCCCTTCTCATTACACGCAACTCCGAAATTCTACCTGAGATAGAGTTGTAAGTGCAAATAGAGATATGAGAGCCTCATCCAGACCATGGGTGCACTCATTTCTGATTCTGCACTGTCAGATTTCTCTGCTGGGGTTTGTGTGAATGTCTGTCCATGCCAAAAGTTTTGTAAATGCACAAAACAAGTTGAGAGGTCTCTTCAGTTTGCAAATCAGACTTTGAGAGCCTTGAGGCAAAAATTAGTAAGAGCATTTGAGATCAACTTCATAGGACAGACATTCATGAAAACCCCAAAGGTGACATTGCCAACTAATACCAAATGAGAGGCTGTACTGTGTTGCAACATCAAAGCACACTGTGGTCTGACACTCACCTGTCTGCTCATGTCTGCTCTTCTGCCTCAGGGTGTGATTGGCTGACACTTTCAGATTCCTCCTGGGTCTCCTCGTCCTCGTCCTCTTCCTCATCACAGTCGCCGTCTGAGGCTTCCTCTCCTTGTTCTTTCACCTCCATCTCTCCTTCACTGTCTCCATGCTCTGCTCCTGCCTCATCATCGTCCTCGTCCTCCTCTCCCTCTGCCTCCTCGTCACTGAAGGGCTCTTTGCCCTCCTCCACCCTCCTGGCGGCCTCTGAGAACCAGTCCCTCACCTGCTCATAGCTCATGTTGGACTTTGTCACCAGGTCGTCCAGATCCTTCTCACTCAGAGCTTGGTGTTTGTGGTAGTAGTCCTTCAAAAACTCTTTACCGGACTTCACCTGCAGGAAGGAGGAATAAAACACAGGTCTCAGCATCAAAGGGAAAAAATGTGTTGTACATTAAAAGTCTCAGCAGTTCTTTTAGTTGGTTCATCTGAGGAAAACTGCTGTATACTGAGATATTAAAGACTTTGCTACACCATATATACACCAGTGTCTGTACTTTTTGTGGGTAATGATCATTAAGCACTGCTTTAAGGAAAAATTGTATCCACAAGATTTTTACATCAGTGATAGTACCCTGATCCATATTTAAAATCAGTGGATTAATAAAAATGTCTCAACTGAGTTTGAAATGTAAAATGATCACAGTATTAAGATAAAAACAAAACAAAGCATTGAACTAATCTAACAATGACCAGTTCAGCCTGCTTTTCTCTCACTGTCAGATGTCCCACCCAAACATCCTGCTTCAAAAGGAAACGTCACATCTCAGGAAGCAATGATTCCTTTTTTTCTCAGCTGGAGTTTGAGAAATAAATTGTGCCACATACCTTGATTGTGGTGGCGTCCCCCTGTGGTGAGCGTTTGCAGGGATATGGCCGGCGTGTCCTCCTGGACCACCCCCGGAAACGCTTCCTGGATTTCTTCTGACTCTTGGCTCCACCGTTCAGTGCCTCGTCCACCTTATATGCAGTGAATATTTGATTTAGTCTTTCAAGCATGTAAAGACAGTTGCTATATCAACACACATAATTTTACACATATCCAACAAATGCTAATCCAATATCAATTTGCTTATACCTAGTACATACTTGAATGGAGTAGAAAGAAGTAGGACCTATCCAGTCCTACCCCATGACATCATCTTACCATCATTGGTTTGCAAGCAGTAAATAATTATCTTCTACACCACACAACATACTAAAGAATTATTACAGAGTATTAACATTCTTACACCACACCCACAATGTGCCATCTAATTAATCATTAAGCCTGTTCTTGCATATATCTTGATTGACACACACACCTTTATATTTATGTTTAACCTCATCAATTCTATTACTATTTTTTTATGTCCACACTTAAATTATTCCATAATTTGACCCCACTTATAGAAATACAAAATCTTTTTTTGGTTGTACGTATAGCATGAATTTTTAAATTTAACTGACCCCTTAAATTGTATCCCCCTTCCCTTTCATTAAATAGTTTTTGAATTCCACCAGGTAATAAATTGTTCCTGGCTTTATACATAAACACAGCAGTCTTATATCCCACTAAATCAAAACATTTTAACAATTTAGACTGTATGAAAGCTCCATTGGTGTGATCCCTATACCCCATCTTATGCACAATTCTTATCGCTCTTTTTTGTAATGTATACAATGGTTGAAGTGAGCTTTTGTATGTATTTCCCCAGTTTTCAACACCATACTCTAAGTATGGTATTTAAAGTCTGTTCAGGTATTTGCTGCTGTTGATCCATCATCTAAAGGAGTACACGTTACTATGACTGCTGCTCTAACAGTACTGTTACCAGAACCAACACTACACGCTACTGTATAAAAATGTTCATAGAGAGAAATCTGCTGAGGCTCTAACTTGTTATGAGATGCAGTTACACTCAGCAGAAACAACACAACTGCTGTACCTTTCCGCTCTGGTAGAGGTAGTACCACTTCAGGTTGCTGTTCTTACAGGCGTAGCGTGTGTCTCCAAACCAGTTGACAATGTACGTCCTCGGTAGACCGCTCTCCTCTGCCATCTGGTCGTACTCCTCCGGTGTCGGCCACTGTGTGTGGACGAAGGCCTTCTTCAGGATGTGGAGCTGCTCTGGCGTTTTCTTCACCGCCTTTCTCCCCCCTGGTGGAGTTGTCTGTCTCTCCTCAGCTGAGGATGAAGGCGCAGCAGCTGGTTTCAGCTTCTCGTCGTCCTCCTCAACGTCTTCGTCCTTTGGCTGTGCTGCTGAAGGCATTTTTCGCCTCTCCGTGAACCAAGCATCAACCTCACGCCTCGTTAGCTTCGTCTCCGCTCGCAGCCGGCTCAGCTCCTCATCTGATGGCATGTCTGATTTCTGGAAGCTGGCCTCCAGGACAAGTAGCTGCTCCGGTGTTTTTTCCTTAAACTTCTGTGGCGTAAAGTCAGGGAAGGCATGGCGGAATTTGACCCGTGGGTCACTGGAGGAACGCGCCGATCCTGGGACGTTGGCAGAAGTCGGGGAGGAGTCGCTGGCGTCGTCACTGGAGTCGATGACGATGGTGGTGGTGTTGTCACTGTTGTTGCCATCATTAAGGTTGCCGCTGCTGTTCCTTCCTCGGCTTCCTCCTGCGCTGCTGGATGAAGTTTCATTCGGCAGGACACTGTGGTGGTCGTTAGATTTCCTCTGGTTGTAGCGTGTATCACTGAACCACTTCTTTATTGCTCGTTTGGAGAGTTTGGTGACCTGCATGAGTCGTGATATCTCTGCCTCTGTGGCAAACTGCCTCCTGCTATAGCTTGCCTTCAGCTCTGCCAGCTGCTCCTTTGACTTCTTCGGTTTGGTTGCTGCTGCGTCCAAACTGAGTGGTATGCCGGCAGATG